AAAACAAAAAACAAGCTCAACATTTCTGAGAAATCCATGTATGCTTTATTTTACTTCATCTCATTAATCGTATCAATACTTCGAATCTTGCCAGAATAAAGCTACAGTAGATTTTTTTGGTGTCTTTTCACTTTTAAAGCTATGGATTTATTAAGCATGTATTTTATTACATGGGATTAGAGAGGATTCACACATAGCTGACCATATTTGTGTTTGTCCAACTGCAAGAATGCTGACACATCTGAGATACCATTTTCAAGATGATTAGAATATCCTGACCAAATACTTGTGAACCAGCACTTATGCTACTGGATTTTGTGGGAGATGGAACATTCAAAGCTTATTTCCTGCATCAATAAGCAGAGATCCAAGTTCCACATTGTTTTTATCAGTAGTAATATGAAACAATATGTTAGAGCTGGGATTAGAGTCCATTTTCTGGACCCACTGTGTTCAGAATCTGTTTGCATTCAGAGAAATGCCTATTGAATGTTCTTTCCACTTTCCACTTTAAAACAACTGGATTCAGCAAGATGAAGGACAGATGAGAGATATTAGATACTGCTGGAGGAAATTCTCCCCCTCCCAGAATAGTACATACAGTAATAATCTGATAGTCCAGACTTTGAGTGCATGCAATTAAACATTAATCTACAAATATAGCAACATCTAAGGCTGCAATGTACAATTTTGATGGTATAAAGGCCGCAGCAGGTATTGTATAGCATAATGAGAACTGTGCTTTAAAATTAGATGGGGTCAATATTCACTTTCAGAGAAGGTTTTACCAAGTTTCAGAGGGAAAGCATTATAAAACTTAAGACAACATTTTTGTGTCTTAATCCTACTAACACCTTTTCTAAAATGTCAAAAGGAGGAGCACTGAAAAGTTTATCCTTAGTTTATATTCTAGTTTCCAACTTTATTAGGGAAGGCAACAAATCTGTAAAGGAAGTATCTTGCATTAAATAACATGATTATGTCAATCTGGCTATTTCATTTTTTTTTCAAACTGTATTTTTTAGCAGGCAGGCTCTCTGTCACTAATTCCTTATAATTATTTTACAAATACTGATTTACACAGCTTCAAAATAGTCTTTTCCTAACAATCTAGATATTATTGTAAAAAAAGTTCAGAGATTATGGACAATGTACAATTACATTCATTGGATAGACTGGAAGTTTTTAAGCATTTATTTTCCTGCTATTGCCCATATTAACTGTATTTTCTGATAGATATAGCAGACACTTGCAAAATAATCATATATATTATAAATTTTCATCTTAATCTCCATGCATAAACTTTATTTCTCTTAAACTGTAACCATTACTATATTTAAAACAAGATCAGCAAATACATTTCTGAATCAAATCAGCAGCCAATTTTATTTATACTGCATTATTCCATTTATAGATTTAGGGGACCAACCTCTAAATCTCAGATGGTCTAGACTGTAATATGGTTCTAAGAAATTGCCATCATTTTTTTTTTATTTCAACAAACTGCTCTAAAATGGTAGAGACTGAAAATGTCTATGTTTCCATAATGAAACAGAATTAGTCCCCAAATTCTTTCATACACAAGGATAATTTAATCTTTGTTTTACTATATCTTGTTTTATGTTTGCAACGCCCCAGAATGAAGGGTAATAGCATAAGAGTCTGGATTTACTTCCTAAAATGATGAATAACCCTCATCTCATGACAAGCTGTGATGTACTCCCATTAAAATTGCTCTGAGTGAGAAGATATTCCTGGTTTAAACTGCATGTTCTGGAAACACAACTGACTTCAGTGGGGCTTACTATGCTTTGGAGAAAAAGATCACTGTGTTGTCATGAAAGTGTCATAGAACATTATATGGATGAAGCCACTGGCAGAATAATATTTTCTTTACAACGCACAAGAAGTATTAAAAACAAGTAGTTCCATTTTGATTACCAAAACTAATGCAAAATATAAATTAGATAATTATTAATCTGCTGCATTTTTCCCAGATACAGTATTCAAGTATGCCCATAATAAAGTTAAGATTTTATTTTTAATAGACTAAAAAGACTAATTTCCAGGACTGGTCAATTGTGAAAAGAGACTTAATTTAAATACAAATTTTAAAGTAATAAAAAGCATAGATAGCTATCACTGCATGTGTTTATCCTATGATTGACAAACATTTTTCTCATGATCATTGCAAGGGATTTGGAAATAATATTAAAACAGTAAACATTGTCCCCGCTAGAATGGAAAGGTGTAGGAAAAAGAATTCATTTTTTATTTTTCAAAAATGCCAATCTGGGGCTGAGCATATGTCATTCTTTAATACCTTTAAATAAATTCCTTCATTTTGTAAAATTGTAATTAGATGTGGAAAATGTACCAGTGATGCTAAGTGATTTTAAAACAAACCTTGAAGCACTTCATATCTTCTCAGATGTAAACAGAAATCATCTCTACTGCTGTGGAAGATTATTACAGTCATGCAAAAGTAAATATAAATCCCACCTGGTACCTTTAGGCAGCTATTTTATTTACTAGTTTCTTCTAGTAGGAAATAGATGGTACAATGCCATGGAGGAATGTTTCCATATCCTCTCAGCACTGGAATCAGAACCTGAGCCTAAGACATTTGGTTGTTCAAAGCAAAAGGTGAAACAGTAAGTCTCCTAGTATAGTTCATGTTCAAAATAGATCCTCATGATAAGTTTATCTGAATGATAATTTTATCTGTATATAAATATGGAGCAAATTCCACATACAGGTAGTCCTCAATTTACAACACTTCATTTAGTGACTGTTCAAAGTTACAATGGCACTGAAAAAAAGTGACTTATAACCATTTTTCACACTTACAACTGTTGTAGCATCCCCATGGTCACATGATCATGATCTCCCCCCCCCCATATCTGATAATATAAAGCGATAAAGTAAATGTTTATATGTCTGAATACAACAACAGCAATTGCTGTCCATAGTAATTATTTTGGGTACACTATTTGGATTTGGCACATTTAACATAAAATAAGAGTTCAATTAATTTAAATAATTTTAATTATTAAAGTTATTTAGAGAGAGAGAGAGAGATCTGCCTACTATTAAAAGATTATGGGCAGTGAACGGAATAATAACAATAAACCAATGTAATAAAACATATATAGAAATTTGATATTCTTCTGTTAATCATATCCAATTCTTGGAGATTGGATAGAGGAAGTAGCTTTCTTGGCAAAATTTTTCAGAAGTGGTTTGGCATTGCCTCCTTCCTAGGGCTTAGAGAAAGTGACTAGCCCAAGGGCAGCCAACTAGCTTTATACCTAAAGCATGACTAGGACGCAAAGTCTCTTGGTTATGCCTAATTATGCCTTAACCAGTACACCAAACTGGCTCTCTATATAGGAATATAATAATTTCAAAATCACAGTAACATAAAGATGGGCACAGACTGACACTTGAAGTAGATGCAGTAAAATCAATTAATTTATTCGTGAATTAACAGTCCTTCTCTAAATTCAGTTATGTTTGCATATAACTCACAATATTTTGAGTGAAATCAAATATGGAAGAATATATATAAAAATAAACAATACATTCTTGTTATTATTTTATTTTGTTATGTAAAGACTAACATCCCCTTTGTGGAAATTACAAAAAGGAAAATCAAAGATGAAATACTTTTATTGCAGCAAATGTGCCTATTGAACAAATGTTTGGAGGTTTGCCTGCTTGTTTGTTTGTTTCTGGTGCTTTTCCCGAAGCCAAACAGTTTCCACTTGGAAGCTAAATTGAAAACGACCTTGTGCTTTTTAAAGGAAGGCTAGCAACAGAGGTCACTAGAGTATAGTTTAATAGTGCTGTTCTGTCTATGGTTTGCAGGCATTCTGCAAAAATAATAGTATTATACAGATTATCCTGCCTTTCCCTTTGAAAAATGTATAAAACACAATCCAATAGCAGAACAACAATGAATTTTCAAGAGGAAGCAGGTGCTTTGAAAAACTTTTATTTTACCTTCCTCTTTTCCTCTTCATCTTAGGACCCATTAAACATTGACTTAGAAACTTCCATTGATTATGCCAACAGAACACTATTTACATTTTCTCAGCATGGAGGTCCCGACAGTACAATATTTTATAGAGTTTAGCTTAGAAGTGAGAGAGGATACTCAATTGCATGCATCATTTTTTTTGCTCAATTGCTGAGGTTAAACATAATAATTCCTTGTACAGAACAGTAACAATAATTGAATTACTTTGACTTACTGTGAATAAGAAAGATATAAATATGTATCACCTGTTCATGCCTGTAATTTTCCCATTGTGTAAGCAAGTAAGACTAACTACATAGAACAAATCAGAAAAAGTCTACTTTTTAGAATCCCTGAACCTCTGATTCATTACTATCAAGCAAGCTGAGATTTTTAAGCCTCCAGTAAACCAACTTTACCCACTCAATATCACTCCTTCCTGAACAGTTTGAGGTGTTCATGCAAAGAATGGACAAAAACCAACATTTTATCCATAGTAACCCAGAATAAATCAAGCATCTTAATTGTGTAACAATGAAGTATCGTAATGGAAAAATTCAGAAAAAGGTGATGCTTCTATCAACAATTGTAGATCTAATTGCAAACATTCTGTGTCTATAGAGACATCATTAAACTAGTTTAAAGACAATTAAAATTAAAGAGTTCATGATCTCTGTCTCTTCCTTAACAAGTATGTTATCTATCACCATTATAGAAGGACTACATCATTTGTTTTTAGAGAAGCAATTTTCCATTTGTCTATTTAGTTTGACATAAATTTATATTTAATATCTACCTTGTGCAGGCAAAACGTAACGTCAGCTTAAAAAGAAGAAGACAAAATATTCCTTCACTTTTTTTGGGGGGGAGAGGGAGAGGGAGACAGACAGACAGACATAGTTGTTTCTATAAAGAGTTTCAAAGTACGTTGTGGCAAATTAAAATATACCTAGCACAGATAAAAATAGTATGAACTTACCATTGAAATTTACTGCCCGGATGTAACTAAGCAACTCTTTGCCATCAATTGTACTCATGCGAGGACAGAGTCCAATGTACCCAGGACAAAGTTCTTTATGCATGTTGTGTAATGCATATGCCATCGAGTACACCGCATCAATGACAAACTGAACCTTTCCTTCTTGTTCATAAGCAGAATCTCTTGCAATTCGTTCCAATCCTGTGAAAAAGAAGAGAGACAAGGAATCATTTTGCTAGCCTGGACACTGACACAAATCTATGTATTGAATATTCTATGTTGTACAAGAAGGTTGTGAACTCAAAATTAATTACACATCCCTGGTAGATTGAATGCTTCGACACAGTTGATATTCACAATGTATTTCAGCAGCTAAATATGAAACTGGGGAAAGTGGCAACTTATTTTGGAAAAGGAATCCTATGAGGCTACTGGGATTAAATATTTATGGATGAGTTATTGTTCAGTGTTGTGTAAAACATTTTTTTCAAACTTGGCAACTTTAACATGTTGGATTTGACATATGTTAAAGTTGCCAAGTTTGAAAAATAGTGCTGTAAAACAATATATAAATCTAAGCTAGACAGTTTTTCTCAACAGAAAATTTATGGAAAGTTCAAGAATTAGAACTGTATGATAATTGAAAATTATTGTTTTTATTCAAGCATTAATTTGAGAAGAGAACATTAAATGAAGTAAATCTCAGTTACATTAAAAAACTAAACAAACATCTACCCTTACATACACATGGTTACATTCAGGCCATTGGATGAAAAAATGTTCTAATTTTTAATCAAAAAGAAGTACTATTATAAGAATGATTTCTATACTTGCCATCAGTCTTCCAACCTTTGTCTTATAAATGAAATGATAGAAAGTGGGATTATTTTAAGAAAGAGAGCTACTCAGGATGCTGTTCCCAAACTCTTTCTTTACAGAACAGCTGGCTGATTATATTTAAACTGGTTTTACAGCATTTGTACAATTCAGCTTTAATTTAATTGAGGAGAATACCTTTATATTCTGCTCATCTATTTCCGGGCTTAACAAACCTTTAGGAAAGAAGGTGTGTTTCAGTCCATGTGTGGCCATTATTTGTATAAAAATGGTGTATGGTTCCTACTTCTAAGCCAGTATTGGCTGGGTGGGAAATTATGGGAGTTAAGTCCATGCATCTAAGAATATATCTAATTGCCAAGTTTTACATAAAGCAAAAACTATTATAGATTTAAATTAAAGCCTACATGTAGCTTTTTTTACATATGATCTTGATTGCTCACATATTAATTTTTTTTGATAATTTGGCCACCTAGTTCTATTCAATTTATGGTATCAGTTGCTAATATTCTCACACAAAAATTAAAATACAGATATTGAGCATCATATTTGTGTTGTACTTGATCATACATAACTGATACAGATTAACATTAAGTATAATTATCAGAGGCCAGAAAAAGGCACTTTAGGAAAACAAATATTTGATATACTTAAGGAGAAGCCATAAGTGTTTATCTCTGAATCATCCTAGCTAATCACATTCTTAATTAACTCTGAAGAGTAACTTCACTCTGAAGAGTGAAGAAGGCTTCAAGCTCTTCTTAGAGTTATCAGCTGAAAGGGATAAGCGTAAATGAATTGATAAAAACTTCCAAGTCCGAGTGCTATTAAGAAATCATATGTGTTATGCTCACCAACCTTACTATTTACAGTATATTATTCAGCACTCAATTTGGGGCTTTAAAAGCAGGTCTGAGAATAAGCTAACAGATGAATAGCAGACCTTTATTCTTTCATTGCAGTTGGCAGTTGCAATTCATTTATTTTTCAGACTGATGTGTGCCAGGTAAATGACTGTCTCTAGACAGCCATCCTATTCATATAAGTACTTTCTGGGTCCAGATTAAAGGTTTAATGATGTCAAAATGACAGCACAATTGGGTAATCAAGTTCTGGCCCTTTTTTAACACATGACATACACATCTCACGCATGTAAAAGGGGCAGGGATTTGATTACCCCATTGCATTCAAACTTCTCAAATTAGAGAGGTAGGAAAGAAAGGAAATGTATCAATGACATTATGGGCAATTAAATTTCCAAAGTCCCTGCCCTGTTTTCTATATTCAATAAAATCTATATAGATATGACTAAACATTGTAAATATTCTCTCCATTTTTGTACATTTTCAATGTCATCTTAAAATGTTTTTACTTAATAAATACAAAATCATGCAGGAGAAAATTATGTTTGTTCTTTATCACTAGAAAAAACAGGGAATATACTGTTCCACTCCAATACTTCCTCAGTAAATACTACTCTTTTAGTCATAAATGTGCATCTTGTAAATCTTAAAGCTTCAACACATTTGTAACAGAAAATAAATCAGAGCTATTTCCCAATGTCATCAGTAAACCCTTCAAAGCAAAACAAAAATGAAGTTATCTGTGTGGAAGTAGAAATAAAACTGAGAGAGAAGGGTTGTCAGAATGAGATCAGATGTAGCTTTAGGTTATAATGAATTAACCTGACCCTGAGTGTTATATATAATATTAAATCAGATCGTAGCTTCTGAAAGTTTTACCAATTCCTTTTTCAGGTTTTGCTGATCCTACATTTTCTTCTGTTTAATTAGGTAACATGTTGCATTTCTGTGTTATATACATATATACACTGGGAAGCAGAGAATGTGGGTAAGAAATTATGTTAATGAGCTCAGGACATCTCTATAAGCAGGATAGTGCTATAAAAATTAAACAATACAGGAGCAAATTTTTTATGGCAAGAAAAATAGACAAAAGAAAATAGATCAGTCTGGAGGTTAAGGGAGGGAAATCAGGCAGAAAAATATATTTCAAATGCATTCATATGAAAGAAGCAACTGGGAAGCCCATTGCAAGACTACAGACAGCTCTGTTCTTAAACCCCTTAACCAAATGATACAAGATGGAGCTAATACAAAAGAATTCCAGAAGTCATATTCTGAATGCTTTCTCACATTATTTTAACTGAATCATCTATATTGTGCTCTCAACATGAAAGCTCTGCTTGATAAATCTTCAAATCAAGTTCTCCTGCCCCAAACTTGACTTTTAGCACAATCTGGGCTTTCTTTTTTACAATAAAAAACTGTTCTTACATTGTTTTTTTTTTTGGGGGGGGGGTTAATGTCCAAATCTAGTCTACACACCTTGAATTTTCTTATGATCTCCTATCTAAAACTAACTAGATTTGACCCTTAAAAGCTTTTTTTTTTTTTTCAAAATCAGTAAGTCATTATGGTGTTGCCACTTTTGGGGACTCTTAAAAAAAATCTTTAAAATTAGGTCTCCTTTGCTTTAAGCTTGATTCCATGGATGGTGATTTCATGAGTGATCAATGTAGTTTCCATGTAGTTTCATTGACAACAAAGTGGAAGTGATTGGCCTTTACCTTCATCTCATTTTATTGGAGTGATATTCCTTGGTGATTTCCATTTAAGTACTAACCAGATCTGACCCAGCTTAGATTGGGAAACACATTTTCTGGAAGCAAAGTTCTAAAAATAATACCGTATTTTCTGGCATATAAGACGCTCGGCGTATAAGACGACCCCCGACTTCAGAGAAGATTTGCATGGTTAGAAAGTCATCTTATACGCTGGAGAATACGGTGTTTTCCGGTGTATAAGACAACTCGGCATATAAGACGACCCCCAACTTCAGAGAAGATTTGCATGGTTTAGAAAGTCGTCTTATATGCTAGAAAATATGGTACTTAAAGTAACCGAAATTAAATTTCTTGACAAGCATGTATACAAACTGAACATTGTACAAATATATAAAATCAGGATATGAATATTTAATGATATCTAATTAAGGGAAAAATTTATTAAGTCTACTTCTCTAGGATTATTTTTCAGGTAAATTCAGAACTCATTATTCAAAAATCTACTTCTTGACTATACAAGTAATAGATAACTAACCTCTTTATTTACAATATAATCTTTTATGTTTTTGAATCCCTTTCAGTATGCATAAATCATATTGCAATATCAATTATAAAACAAGCTTATTAATTAATATGTCCTTTTTAATTGTAGAATGATTGCAATAATGTGGCTGGGCTTCCTCTCTCCTAAGAAACACTGCAAGATTTAAGCTTTAAAGATTTAAGCTATCATTCAACTTCCTAAATGTTTACAAAAAAAACTGCTACTGAAAATATCTATCTAGTTGTTTCAAGAACCTAAAATAGTATAATTTAACTGAGTGACAATGACACATCAACTTAATTGTTTGTAAAATTTAATTATAGCTGTATTTCCCAAAATAAATGTTATAAATAAGTATAACTATAAAATGATGCATATTGTAAAATCCTTTAATATAAGTCAACCCACCCACAAAAAATATTTTATGTCTTGGTCTATTTATTAAATATATTTATATCTTAATCTATTAAATATATTTGTTCTGAACTCAGGAAACCAAATTCCAACTTTCCTAATTTAAAAGTAAATCACTAGGTCCTGAGATGCTACTACTTAGTTCAGTTTTAGTTATATGTCTTGCACTTTTCTATAGCCATTGTCAAGACATTTGGCTTGAGATAAAATTAATGCCTTGAAAGATTATAAAGGAGTATAATTTCTCAGTGGATTAAAGGGACTTCCTTACTGGAAACTGTTGATACATGCAAATTCATATCAGCTAATCCCAAGAGGGTTTTGATTGATTGGATAGTTCAAAACCTTGGCAGAAAAATGTCTAATACTGAATCCTTGTCTACTTCATTTCTTTGTTATTTTCTACTTTACACTAGCCCTCTTTTCTACAGAGCATGAAAATCTTGTAAAAGATCATGATTCTTAAATGAAGCTACATAATCCATATGCAATCTCCTAAACATGAATACAGATATCCCAAGTATCCCTACATCCATTTCCATTTCTAAGACACAAAGGACATTCCATCAAATAGAGAATTTTGTGACTGTGTTGTATCATATAAATTTCCAGAGCTAACAATTCAGAGCCATTTTAATTCAATATTTAATCTAGGGCTTTATATCACTTTAATTAATACTGGCTGGATTGAATCTATTTGGATCATGGAACAATACTTCATAACACACTAGTTATCATTCCTACAGAAAAATCACATTTATTTAAAGATAAAGCTACAAAATATGTGACAGTAATTATACTTTGAAGTAAAAAAAATGA